TCAAAATTTAAGAACAACGGTGTATTTTTTTATTCAAGGATACGATGTGAAAACTACCTTATACGGTAACGGCGCATTGGATAACTCAACAAATTGTGACATTCTAAACTCATTACACCAGTTCATTTCTAAAAGTAAGTGCTTCCAGTGATTATCACCTCTACATATACATGTATATTCAATGCAAGACAAGATTTATATAACTTGATTTTCTGCGGCAGCTCTTTTCGTTGCTAGGCACAACCAACACCATAACCAAATATTTATTATTCAATCATTTTTCTGAGTGTAATTTTTGTTTCAGTAGTATTCTTTTCTTGTCGGACTATTTCAAATATGTATCCAGCTATATTGGAACTGTACTGGAGCGGCGTTTATATAAGCCACTTGGCTTGTTCGCCTATCCAGGTTTCTGTATTGACGGAATAAAAATATGTTTAAACCATCTCAAACCCATATTTCAGACAGTACCCATATCTCAGACACCAGCAGTATTTCAGATACAGTGGAAACCGCCTAAGTAAAGACCGCTTAACTAAACAGACCTGATAAGTAAACACTTTACCTTGGTCCCAGCAAATTTCTTCATTAATTATCACTATTAGAGTCCGGTTAACTAAACTCGGATAAGTAAACAATACCGCTTAACTAAACTTCTTCTCACAGTCCCTGGAAGTAAATTACTTAACAAAAGAGACTGGATAACTAAATTAGCGATCACCACATAATCCGACATGAGGGGCAAGTGTCAGTCTCCAGTTAAACCAACATCCTACTTACAGCTCGCTGGCGTCATGCAGTTGACAATACACTGACAACTGGAGGCCAGCCCTGATAAGTGGTTCATTGCTACATATGTATACATATACATGCATATGGTTGTCATTTGCAGATTTTTATAGGTTTGGATAAGTCAAATACCTGATAAGTAAACAATTTTGGCAAGTCCCTTGGAATTTTACTTATCAGATTTCCACTGTACCAAGAATGTCTCAGACACCACCAGTATTTGAGACACCATAAATATCTCAGACACCACCAGTATTTCAGATACCAAGACATCAGAAATATGTACCCCAAGTGTTATTTAAAAAATATGCTTTATTATGTTTTAATCGCAAAAACAGTTTCTGTTATCTGAGCTTCGGCCATTATGCATATTCCGCTGGAACTCACTTGACTTTTCCGCTCGTGACATCATATGTGACTAGTGACTAGAGTCCGCCATATTGCCAAAGAACAAGCACTACAGTAACACAAATTGTGCTGTTTCTGACATTTGTGTAAATGGTACGATGGTGTATTCCGTTGGGTGGGGATGCACGGAATCATCGAACAATGGAAAGAGCTACAATTTCCTCTGTTTTCCAAGTAAAGAGACAAATTTAGGCAGGAGAAATGTTCGATCATTCCGAGTCGGGCGCATATGAAAGAGACATGCACACATGGGGTATGAAAATCCAAACGTTAGGCTGAAGAAGGAAGAAGTACCCACGACTCATTTATACTCCATCATTCCTTGTTACAACTTACTGTCAGTGGTATTTTTAACATAAATTAAATCAAGTCCGATTGCCAGGCGAATTGCCCCAGCTACAAATTGCCCCAGCATATATGGTCAAATTGCCCAAGAGAGAAGTCAAAATGTCCAAATTTATTTAAAATGATTAGATATAGGCCATAAATGCATAGTTTTTGTCAACTTTGATATTATGTTCTTCATATAAAAGTATATACATAGTTCTGAGTTTACTAATGGAACATTTATCAGAAATATTACTTCCTAATAACTTTTATATGAAGAACATAATCTCAAAGTTGACAAAAACTATGCATTTACGGCATATATTTAATCATTTTAATTAAATTTGACCAAATTAAAATCAATGACCAAATGCTGGGGCAGTTCGACTGGTACCCATGAGATATAGATTATCAAAATCAGAAAGAGATTTCACATGAGCTTGAAAATGTTTCGCGATAACGTTCTTTTCAGTTTGGAGCCCTTAATTCTGCAGTCTACCCGAAACATTCCCGAATACAACGGCAAATCATGAAGTACTTGTTGCTTTCATTGTTTTCCATTTTGTCCAATTACGCACGTTGGCATCAGACTCGCTATTTGTCAGTAGTGTGTGCCATAAAAGTTGTTCTGTATTCTCTTTGGCTGACAAGATGTCATTCAAGGCTATGACCGAGTACCATAACTATTTCCCCAACCAAACACTGGGGAAACATACATTGTCCTGACTAGTATTTTATAATTCACCAGTTTTTGGGGAATAACTTATTTGCGTCGCGTATAATATCTCTGCTCGACCAGGCTGGGATCTTGGATCGAGACTTGATACCTTATTAATGAGAACTACGATCTTAATTTTTTTCAACAAAATAATTCCAGTGTAATTTTTGTAGCAGATAATTTCTATTTTCCCATGTCTGAAGCATAATTATTATTATTTTAAATCCCAGACACTCTACAGTCACCCATTTGACACAAAAGGAACTGCAGTCACATTTCAAAAAATTATTTTCTTAGGAACTGGTCATTTAACTATAGGGGTGGGCTTGCTGGTTGGAAGTGTATCACATTTTGCTGACAAATAGTATTCTTGTTAAATGATATGGTCTATCTTTTAAATTATTTTGACCTCAAGCGGTGCCTCCGTTTCGCTTGATTCTTCTTCTCATCTTCACTGGAAGATTGTCTTGCAAGATGTCAAATCGGATTGTATTGATACGGTCTAACATCCATTTCAGAAATGACATCAGGAACATCTTTTACTGCTTCAGAATCCATGGACACTGTTAAGTTGTGAGGTAAAATCAAATAGGGGAGCCATCAGCAACAGGCACATATGACGTGATGTCACGTGATACCCCCTCTGCTCATTAACTGTCGGGTGTTTCCGTAATAGGCAGAAATATGAGTACGTTTTTTGTGTTTTTATTGCGATTTTACAAACTTTTTGTTCAATTTAATCACGGAAGGCGACTTTTAGAATGCCTTTACCCGTATCAAAAGTTTTGTTTTCGTTTGTATTCTCCTTTAATATCAACCAATAAGTGTTGAGACCTGAAGGTTTCTTACAATTTTGATATTTTAAATGTGAAACAATATATTTACATAAAAGAACAAATTTAAGTCTTATGATGTAGATTTGCCTCTTTATCAACAAAGCTTCATTTCAAAGCATCAACAGTGGAAATACGATTGTGGATGCTTGAAAAAACACTGAGTTTTGTGATCTGCTGATCAGCTGATGCATGATTTTGCCAAACTAAAACCAATCTTGAATGAAGTATGAATATAGAATATAGTTGATAAAATACATTCAAGAAATAAAGCATGATATACAAAGAACACCATTCACAATCAGTAATAACAGGACAAACTTTTGGACTTTGGTACAGTTTTGTTGACAGGCTATTTCTGTTGAATGGACAGCTTGGGTTGTATTGGGTGGATCGTGTCAGGTCGGGCAATACGGGGTCATGTACCCCAGTTGTATATTTGCACTTGTTCCTGCCCTAGTATATCAATAACACACTGCATGAGTGAGGATGTCCCACTGTAGATGTACAAGCTAAAGAAAATAGGATCTGCTGCAGCTGGTTTCAAGGTGGCTTTTGACGTTGGTGAATGTGGTTGCATGTAGTTGCCACTGGGTTACAATTTAGTTACAATGAGGTAACAACTTAGTTACAATGTGGTTACAATTTAGTTACAGTGTGCTTACAATTTAGTTACAGTGTGCTTACAATTTAGTTACAATGAGGTAACAATTTAGATACAATGTGGTTACAATTTAGTTACAGTGTGGTTACAATTTAGTTACAATGTGGTTGCAGTGTTGGTACAATTTGGGTACAATGTTGCTACAATGTGGGTACAATGTGGGTACAATGTGGGTGCAATGTGGGTACAATGTGGGTACAATGTGGGTACAATGTGGGTACAATGTTGGTACAATGTTGGTACAATGTGGGTAAAATGTGGTTGCAGTGTTGGTACAATGTGGGTAAAATGTGGTTGCAGTGTTGGTACAATGTTGGTACAATGTGGTTGCAGTGTTGGTACAATGTGGGTACAATGTTGGTACAATGTTGGTAAAATGTGGGTACAATGTGGGTACAATGTTGGTACAATGTGGGTACAATGTGGGTACAATGTTGGGTACAATGTGGGTACAATGTTGGTACAATGTTGGTACAATGTGGGTACAATGTTGGTACAATGTTGGTACAATGTGGGTACAATGTTGGTACAATGTGGGTAAAATGTGGGTAAAATGTGGGTAAAATGTGGTTGCAGTGTGGGTACAATGTTGGTACAATGTGGGTAAAATGTGGTTGCAGTGTTGGTACAATGTTGGTACAATGTGGGTACAATGTTGGTACAATGTGGGTAAAATGTGGTTGCAGTGTTGGTACAATGTGGGTACAATGTTGGTACAATGTTGGTAAAATGTGGGTACAATGTTGGTACAATGTCAGGTACAATGTGGGTACAATGTGGGTACAATGTGGGTTGCAGTGTTGTTACAATGTAGAAGCAAATGGTTTCAATGTGTTTACAATGCAGTAGTGACAACATGACATATCAATGCATTATTAGATGGAATGACAAAACATTTCAGCTTGGACATTCCAGTAACTCGTCCAGTGGCTGATCCGGGAGCTGGTCCATTATCTATACATTTGCTACTAAGCAAGGTATTTGAGTTCCTTCATGGCTGGAGGTGAAAGTACCATCCATCATGGACCTGTCACAAGACAGTCAAAGATGTTGTCACCCTTGTGATCAACTTTGACAACATGAAGCCAAACTCTTACCTAACAGACAACAGATACATAATTTTATTAGATTATGATGTTCGTTTAATTGGAAGCATATAAGAGTGTAGCAAAGTAGGGATACTGGTATTATCAGAGTCTTGCCAGTAGGACATGCTTACAAACTATGATACTGTTTGTATATTTAGTTCAAGTGCACTTACCTGTATCTGTGTTTAAGGATTATCCCAGCATTCTAACGTAAATCCAGCACTTCTGGAAAAGAACATGGACATTAGGAATGAAGTTTAGATCGGATCAAACACTTATTTGTTGTCATCAATGCAAGACAAGTTACGATCAGGAGTGATGAGAAACATGTCTCTGCTGGATGATTTCCATGTTTGAGTCAGGACAGGAACGAGAAAAAGACATCAACAAGTAGGTGGGGTTGGCTGTGCATTCCAGATATATCAGTTTGAAGGATATTTGACACTGAAGCACAATAAACTTTAAATGACACTATTAGTTGGAGGTATCAGATGACAACATTACTGAGGGTTATCAAGTTAATTCCCAGGAAGAAATACATGAGACTACAATCACCAGCCTGAGCTGCACATTTACCTCCCAAGTTGAACAAGTTACCTAACTTGCTGCAAGGAACAAGCCCTCACTATCAAGTATCGAAGTAAATATGATAGTATCAGGTACATCAATAAACATCCCTTTCTACAGTTTCCTGCACAAATACTAGCAAGATAGATTCGAGTGTTTTTGAACAGATTGAATGATACATTCAAGAAACACATTTTAACAGTGTTCTTGAACAGATTGGGGGTGGGGTAGCCTAGTGGTTAAAGCGTTCGCTCGTCATGCCGAAGACCTGGGTTACATTCCCCACATGGGTACAATGTGTGAAGCCCATTTCTGGTGTCCGCCACCGTGATATTGTTGGAATATTGCTAAAAGCGGCGTAAAACTAAACTCACTCACTTGAACAGATTGAAGCAGAATTTACAGATTAAAGAAATGGTTATGAACAGTTTCAATATTTTAACCGATTCATGATGTGTTCAACAGATTCAATGATGCCACCAGCTTCAATGAGTTTTCATGAGCAGATTTAATGATTTTAACAGATTAATTAAGTGTTCATCAACAGATTCAATGAGCTCAGATTCAGTAAGCGGGCACAGACAACACACACACAGTGTTCATGACCAGATTCAATAAATTCCAAACATTCATGAGTGCTAACCAATAGATTCAGTGAGTTCAATGAATCCAAGAAGTGCATGTTCAAAGACATATTCAATGAGATCAAAAGAATTCAAGAAATATTCATCATCAGATTCAGTTAATTCAATGAATTGAAGCAGTGTTCACAAACATATTCAATGAGATCAACAGATACAACAGTGTTCATGATCAGATTCAATAAATTTGGAACATTCATGGAGTGCTGACCAATAGAATCAATGAATCTAACAGATTCAAAAAGTGCTCACAAAAATATTCAATGAGATCAACAGATTCAAGAAATGTTCATGATCAGATTCAGTGAGTTCAATGAATTCAAGCAGTGTTCACAAACATATTCAACGAGGACAACAGATTCAAGGGTCCCCAATGAGATTCAAAGTAAATGGAAATAAGCTTCGAACGTACAGATTATTCAAGAAAGATCGACATCCTGAGCTATACCTACAAATTATCAACAGAGCTATAGTTTGGCATGAAATGCATGTGGACCCGGTTTTTTGTAAATATCTCTTCATCCAATGATTGTCGATCAAACTGTACGTTTTGTCGAACAACCTAATCACATTGCGATTTTATGGTAATCTAAGCAGAGGGAAGCCAATACGTATAGAAACACGTGACAGGTATGAAGAGGTGTCACAAGTCGTGAATAGGGTAAGGTGGGTGTCTGAGTTTGTTTCTCTGAGTTGTTCAACCCCACCCCTCTGTGTGAGAGAATTTGTCCTTTCTTGGGAATTGGTTGTTGGTTTATTTTTCACAATTTTTTATACGATGTTCTTTTTCATGCCAAAAGCAAAAGTTGGGCGTTTCAGATACATTTTCTTTTGCACTGTTAGAAGTAGTTTTATCAGGATCTTAGATATCATCTTATAAATGGAGATTTTAAGTATGATAACAATATGCATATATTAAGTATTTTAATGTCGTCAGACCCGCTAATTTTATCAACCACTGTGAATAACATGTTTAGAAGACGACTCCTATTCCTGTAAAAATGTTATTCATTTAAACTACCTCTTATATTTTACTCTAAAACGAAATATACATAGTTATTAAATTGTGTATGGTGTCTCATAAGCCTTATTGGCTGGGTGAACGATATTTTATTATATATATTGTGTATTTTATTTCATGTAATCATTCATGTGACACCTTAATAAACTATATCTGTCTGTCTGTCTGTCTTCAATCAATTCAAGCATCAGATCCAATAAAGATTAAATGGATTCAAGAAACAGACTCAATGAGTTTCATCAACAGATTCTGTGAGTGCAGTTCGGCTATCTGTTTATCTACAAATTGGATGCTGAAATTATTAAAACAGCTCGTCATCTGCATGTTGATGAGATGACGTCATCTCCCTACCTGCCAGCTGACAGAAAATAGCTATGCATATGAAAGGTGAGTTTTTAACCCGAGAAAAGATGCAGGTTATTCAAGTAACCATGGAAACAGAGCAAAGTTCGAGAAACAAGATGAAACTAAAAACCAATGTCATTGAAGCAAAGCAACAGTTCTGTAGAATTGGGTCAAACACTGACATTTGTAATATATCTCTTACATTCAAAACGACAAATTCCTGACACAAATGTACATGATAAATGAGAATATCTTGGGACATCTGACCTACCTGTTATCCTACATGGGAGTGACGTGCCTTCAATAACCCCTCGTGTGGAGACGATTAACTCCCGTGATGTGTGGTCGGGTGGGGACAGGGTGGAGTGGGTGTGTGACAAGCTTGTCATAGGGAGACACAATAATCTGCACTGCGAGGAGCTTATCATGAATTGTCGACAAGGAAATAGCAGATACGACCAGCGTGTTCAAAGCCTGGGCTCAACCAGAGTAGTGACCTTTATTCCTTTTGACCTCAATTGTTTTGGAATTTAGTCAATGTGAATAAACATGGATAGGTTTTATTGTTTTATAAGCCAGGAAAGGGGCTGCTTTTCGCCTACTGCATCGTGATGTTTGTGGGGAGGTGTAATTGTTTGTGCATGTTATCCAATCAGAATGTCATGGAATGCTTTGAATTAGTGTATGAGTCTTTGACTCATCTTGTAACAGCCATACGTGTTATCATTGTGTTTAATATGGTGTGGTTCATGTGGGAGGGAGACCCAGAGAACCCACTTTCAACTTGAGGCAGCTATACATGTTATTATTGTGTTTAATATGGTGTGGTTAATGTGGGAGGAAGATCCAGAGAACCCACTTTCAACTTGAGGCAGCTATATGTGATGTCACCGTGGTTAACAGGGGAAAACCATGAGAACCCACTTTTCAGCCTGGGGCAGTCATATATATCTATCAATGTGTTAATAAGGTTTGGTTAATGTAGGGCCGAGATCCAGAGAACCCACATTCAGCTTGAGTGAGTATGGTTTTACTCCACTTTTAGCAATATTCCAACAATATCACCCTAAATGGGCATCATATATTGCATCCTTGTAGGGAATCGTACCCGGATCTTCGGCATGACGAGCAAATAATTTAACCACTAGGATACACCACCGCCTACATTTAGCTTGAAGTCAATGTGTGATGTCATTTGTGTTAATGGTATAATTAATGTTGGAGGGATCCATTTTTAGTTTGAAGTAGCCATATGTGTCTGCCACTGTGTTTGCATGGTGTGGTTAATGTGGGACTGAGATCCAGAGAACCCACTTTCAGCTTGAGGTAGAGATATGTATCTGCTATTGTGTTAATATGGTGTGCTGAATTTTGGTTGAAGGAAAAAAAACAACTCTTTCAGCATTTAGTAGCCATGTGTGATGTCATTGTGTTTAATATGGTGTAGTTAATGTGGGACAGAGGCCCAGAGAATCCATCTATCAGTTTGAAGCAGCCAGCGATCCTGCTTATTATCATCATGGCATGTGAACAGGTTGAGACCAAGAGTGAGTGAGTGAGTGACTTTAGTTTTATGCCGTTTTTTGCAATATTCCAGCAATATCATGGCGTGGGACACCAGAAATGGGCTTCACACATTGTGCCAATGTGGGGAATCGAACCGGGTCTTCAGCGTGACGAGCGAACGCTTTAACCACTATGCTACCCCACCACCCCGCTGAGACCAAGAAGTGACCGAAGTAGTGAGCAATGCCCCATGCTGTCTAGTGAGTGAGTGAGTTAGTTTTATGCCACACTCAGCAATATTCCACCTATATGGCGGTGGTCTGTAAATAATCGAGTCTGGATCAAACAATCCAGTGATATCAACAGCATAAGCATCGACCTACGCAATTAAGTACAATGACATGTGTGAACTAAGTCAGCGAGTCTGACCACCCAATCCTGTTAGTTGCCTTTTACGACAAGCATGGGTTACTGAAGATCAATTCATGGGTTGGATCTTCATGGGTTGCTGTCTTGTGAGTGAGTGAGTGAGTGAGTGAGCAACATTCGTTACACATTGTTACCATATCAGGAATTACAGCACCATTGACTATGGGTCATCCCTATTATGTGTTTAGATTAAATTCAGACTCAATATCATTTTAAAAGTAATATAATTTAAATGATATGTCTTTGAAAAATCATTGCCAACAATATTTTTTGGCTTGTTGGGTCTCAAATTATTTAAACATAAAGTGAGTGAGTTGGGCTTAATGTGACATTTGATGAAATTTTAATAAAATTTAAGTTATGTCTCAGCATGTCAGCTAAATGTGGGAGGAAACCCAAAGCGCATGGCTCAGACAAACCTAGAAATATACCTAGACACCTGGGAATCAAACCCACTGTCATTGGCTTCTGGTGTGCCAAGGGGGACAACTCTGTTCGAGAATTGCAGCACCTTAAATGACTGTACCACCTCTGTTCCCAACAGGTATAGAAAATGACTAAGTGAGAATTAAGATTGGTCTGGTTTCGATTTCTCTGTCCATTGTTGTACCATCTCACGTAAATTGTTATGTTGAATATTTTTCGATAGTGTGGGAAAGTTTCCCAGCATGAGGAGCAACCTACTGACAATCAACAAGGATGTCACTGTGTCACGCCGATGTACTGGAAAAAGCCTTATTGAGTAGACATTACTTGTCAGGAAGTCCTAGCTCCCCGCTGTCTACGTGACCACTCGGTAACGTACAATCATCATTCATGAAATAGTGATGTTATCAGGCCATGATGTTCACAGAACACGATCTTGAAGTCACGGCTCCACTACTGACACAGTGGATTCAGTGCTTGCGAGTGAGTGCACGTTTTCAACTCTCCAATATTAGAGTTCCCCCTTTGTTTAACACTATATCTTCATACCAACCAAGGCAATACATTCTTTGTTTCAGGAGTTCCTTCACATAGGAAGAAGAAATGAAATGAATACACAATGCCATTCAGAAAGTGGTCAGATGTAACACGCGCTATATTTTCAGTGACACTTTCAGTACAGTACAGATTCTAGTATTTATTTCAGTTGAGTGCCACCCGAGATTCAAACCCACACTTTTAGAGGAGTACATAAAGTCAGCAATCTAACCCATTCAGCCACCGCAGCTTCCACAAAAATGAAACTCTGACAACTGGTAGTCTACAGCACATACTTTATGTACCCCTCTGACAACTGGTAGTCTAGAGCACATACTTTATGTACCCCTCTGACAACTAGTAGTCTAGAGCACATACTTTATGTACCCCTCTGACAACTGGTAGTCTAGAGCACATACTTTATGTACCCCTCTGACAACTGGTAGTCTACAGCACATACTTTATGTACCCCTCTGACAACTGGTAGTCTACAGCACATACTTTATGTACCCCTCTGACAACTGGTAGTCTACAGCACTCTTTATGACCCTCTGACAACTGGTAGTCTACAGCACTTTATGTACCCCTCTGACAACTGGTAGTCTACAGCACCCCTCTGACAACTCTGACTACAGCACATACTTTAGTACCCCTCTGACAACTGGTACAGCTTTATGTACCCCTCTGACAACTGGTACTAGGACTGCAGACTTTGTGTACCCCTCTGACAACTAGAGCACAGACTTTATGTACCCCTCTGACAACTGGTAGTCTAGAGCACATACTTTATGTACCCCTCTGACAACTGGTAGTCTGACAACTGGTAGTCTACAGCACATACTTTATGTACCCCTTACTGGTAGTACAGCACATACTGTACGCCCCTCTGACAACTGGTAGTCTACAGCACATACTTTATGTACCCCTCTGACAACTGGTAGTCTACAGCACATACTTTATGTACCCCTCTGACAACTGGTAGTCTACAGCACATACTTTATGTACCCTTCTGACAACTGGTACCGTAGTCTACAGCACGTACTTTATGTACCCCTCTGACAACTGGTAGTCTACAGCACATACTTTATGTACCCCTCTGACAACTGGTAGTCTACAGCACATACTTTATGTACCCCTCTGACAACTGGTAGTCTACAGCACATACTTTATGTACCCCTCTGACAACTGGTAGTCTACAGCACATACTTTATGTACCCCCTCTGACAAGTACCGGAATACTTCCCAGCAAAAGTTTAGACTCACTTGGAGCACTCACTATATATTATGTATATATATATATATGGTTACATCGAAGAGTGAGTGAGTGTGGTTTTACGCCACATTTAGCAATATTCCAGCAATATCACGGCGGGGTAGAAATGGGCTTCACACATTGTGCCCATGTGGGGAATCGAACCCGGGTCTTCTATGTGACGAGCCAACGCTTTAACCACTAGGCTACCCCACCACCCCTTACATCAAAGAACTTGGGGAAACCAACTGCAAACCTTATGCAGATGAATTGCACGAGGATCATGGATCACATTTCTGAAAAGCATGTGCAAATATTGTGCATGTGAACACCTGCTTTTTGGTATAAAGTTTTGTTAAGAATTTGCTAATTCTCACCGAGTTTCATCATTTATTGAACTCTTTAATAATCTTTTCAACGTTACAAATTTGTTTTACAATGCATCAGTTCACGTGTAAATGGTATGAAATATCTTGCAAAATCTAGTTGAGAACAGTTGACTGAAGTAAGTGGCTACATTTACACAAGTGAGTCTAAACTTTTGATGGGTAGTATATAAATTGGCCTGGCTCCCACAGCTGAATACACAATGCCATTTAGAAAGTGAGTGAGTGAGTGAATGAGTTAGTTTAGTTTTATTCCACTTGCAATATTCCAGCAAATATCACGGCAGGATCCCAGAAATGGGCTTCATTCACTGTACCCATTTGGGAAATCGAACCCGGGTCTTCGGGTGACAAGACAACTCTTTAACCACTAGGCTACCCCACTGTCCCCCCATTTAGAAAGTGGTCAAATGTAACATATATTATATTTGGGATCACACTCTCAGTAAGCTACAGATACTAGTACTTTTCCAAACTTTCTCAGTAAAGTACAGAAATGAATGTATGCTGGAGATGTTATTCATATAAGATTACACACCTGCAGAGTCAGATAAAATATTCTTGTAACCAGAATAATCTTAAACCGAACATTTTCTCAACTGCATCTTTAAAGACAAATAGACACAACCTCAATACCATTTAGCCAAATAGAACACACTGATGTCCATCTATAGTGTCTTCACACCTCAGCTCTAAGTAGCCTTCACACAAACTTGAAAGGCAAGTTAAAGTCATTTCACTTGTACAAAACACTTAATATTCTTTCAAGATTTACCTCCCTTGCCTAATCGGGCAGCAAACTGGGCGGATCGTCTCAATATGCAATAGGCTACTTGAAAAAAACACAGCAGGGTCTCGCATGGCTATACCATCAGCTCAAATTGAACCTCCCAATAGCTGTTTTCACAAGCAAGTGCAATTTCACTTACCCGATACTCAAAAAGATCTATGAAATGAGAAAATACTAACCTCCCTTTACTTAAACAGCTAGTCTCAGTACTTCAGCCAAATTTCCATTTTCCATCAACAGAGTTCTGCAATATAACCGTTGTTGACGTCAAAGAACTTTTTCTCACGGAAAGGACATTATCAGAAAGGGCGGCTGTGGTTTGTTCGCTCAGTGTAAACCTGTTCATGGTAATTTGGTTTAAAGAAGATTTATTTCCTAATTTTTAGCACCTAAACAGATTTGTACTAGGTTTTGAGTCACAAGAGACCAAGGTGTGGATGTTCTAGGGAGTATGTAAATCTTCAGATGTTGAATCTGTTGATACTATTTTCCTAACATTAGAAAACCCTTTTGTAATTAGGTGAAGTGTTCATGGACTGTTTGACCTGGTCAAACACCCACCCTTGCATTGACTCATATGCTTGCTTGTCTTGCGATATATGTTTATAATATAATTTTGGATCAACATCTTACCCTTTTGAATTGGAAACTAATTTATTAATTAAAATTTATCAAAATGAAAAAAAGGGGGGGGGGGGGTAAGGATACAACAAGGCAAATGTGAGTGTAATAGAGTTGTTTCATTTTTTTTTATATTTAAACATAGTTTACAGGAAGCATGTATTTTTCATCTTTATTATTATTATTATATGATATTTATATACCGCACATATCCAGGCAACTAGTGCTTGCTCAGGGCGCTGGTATTTTTTCCCTCGATCATTGGACTCGGTCAGTCTCAACGGCACATTGTGTCATCAATCTCAACTCCCTGGAGAGCATACAACTCTTGCAGCCACTACGGCGCACCGAGTTATTGTGGCCTTCTCATCCTAACTTTACACAGTTAAGTTTCAACTGTATTCTGAATATTTATCTCTACAATCTTCATTTTTCATATCTTTGACTTGGAATGTGTTTTCAAAACAATGGCTCATAGTAGAAAAAAACATAAAATAAAATAATCACAGCACTATATAAACTGATCTCTCTAGCTTGGTGACCCGTGAAGATCTGGGTTAGAATTCGTCTACAGCAACCTATTCTTGTTGTAAGAGGCAACTAACAGGATAGGGTGGTCAGGCTTGCTGACTTGGTTGACACATCGTCGGATCCCAACTGCGAAAATCGATGTTCATGCTGCTGATCACTGAATTGTCTGGTCCAGGGCCAATTATTTATAGACCACCACCATATGGCTAGAATATTGCTGAGTGTGGCATAAAACTAAGCTCACTCACTCACTCAAGCATGGTTAGGAGTATGAAATAGACCAATCAACAATGTAATATGCAGTAATGCATTATACAATGTTAATAGTTGATTGGTGTTTTTAAATTGTCTCTTTCCAAATATACAAAAATGTTGAGCGACAAGACAGTAAGTAAATGTTTTCACACTAGGAATCATTTATAATTCTATAGCTCATTTTTTTATATTTGGATTGCAAATACCACAAACCAGCTTCAGTAAGAACCTGTCACATTTATAACTTTCTGTGTTGTACATTATTTGTTTTGGATGCACATATTTTCCCAACTGACTCAGCTATCCATGACAGGTTTATGTAAGTTTCTTGGAGAAGTCAGAAATCAGTGTACCACCTGCTAGACAATGTTCATCACTGGGCTTCAAACAATCACCATTGTTCATCACTGGGATTCAAACAATCACCATTGTTCATCACTGGGATTCAAACAATCACCATTGTTCATCACTGGGATTCAAACAATCACCATTGTTCATCACTGGGATTCAAACAATCACCATTGTTCATCACTGGGATTCAAACAATCACCATTGTTCATCACTGGGATTCAAACAATCACCATCACTGTATTATACAAGGTGTGAGCAGACTTTGATAAACCTGTCAATGTAGCTCCAAACAGATCATTCTTGTCACCAGCTGGGAGAGACAAGAAATCTTTTTGTCATAAATTGAGAAAAGGTTATTAAAAATGCTTTGAGTAAATTATCACTGACCTGGGTTAAAGTCAGAGTTCTGTACGAAACATTTAAATACACAATGCCAGTATAAAAGTAGTCAAATTTAACATATTATATTTGGGATTAATCTTTATCAATTAAGTGCAGATACTAGCGCCTTTTGAGTCCCATCCACGATTTGCACCCACAATCCTAGAGTCGGGCACATAATCGCCATTCTAACATAAAAACATTGCAAACTAACAGCATATTTCAGATGGAGGACTTAGGGAATGGTTTGGTAAGGGGGATAACTCATGTTAACCTGTTTTGAATTCTGAGGCATCTGTTGGGCAGTGAAGTGGAAATTATGACAAACTGGATGACCAGAAGAATAGGAACAAACTAGGTAAGTAAATTTACAAAGCCGACAACTAATGTGAGTGAGTGACTAGTGAGTGAGTAAGTTTAGTTTTACGTCGCTTTTAGCAATATTCCAGCAATATCACAGTGGGGGAGTACCAGAAATGATCTTCACACATTGTGCCCATGTGGGGAATCAAACCCAGGTCTTCTGCGTAACAAGTGAACACCTTGACCACTTGGCTACCCCACAGCCACGCCATTCTTGGAATTTATTCTGTTAGGGGACTTCATTTTTCCCCAGCCGTGCCAAGAGTTTGGATTAGATTTTGGCTGATCATAACTGACTATCACTACAATCTAGATTTGTAAACTCTGGTTTTGGGAGGAAAATGGGGAAACAGGTGAAAATTAATATGGCAAATGATATGTTGGACACTACAATTATGTTCTTGTGTATCTTATGATTTCCAAACCAATACGCATTGGTATTTCAGACAAAGTTTCCAGAATGTCTTCCATCAAACATCAAGGTAAAAGTTTCCAAACTGTACTTTTCAATCGCTTCACTGAAGAGAACACAGATACATTTTTGTAATTGCCTAATTGGGGGGAGGAGTGAGTGAGTGAGTTTAGTTTTACGCCACTTTCCAGCAATATTACAGCGGGGGACACAAGAAATGGGCTTCACACATTGTACCTTATGGGAATCAAACCCATCTCTTCAGCGTGATGGGCAACACTTTAAACACTAGGATACTTTAAAAGTCCCATGCAACGCAAAACACAACTTTGCAGATTCTGATACCTTTCAGTATGGACTTACAGTAACAAATCATCAAAAATGCAAATTCAGCTTATAAAGTTGAAAAATATCGCAAAGAGAAAACCCCTGCGAAATCGGAGTTCAAACAATTCACTAAATTCACCCCAGCTGGGGTGAAAAGTGACAATATGACAATATGCAATACACAACTTCAATCACTGACCACATGCAATTTGAACTTAACACCTATAAGGATATACACCATAAACAAAACGCTTTGATTTATGGCTCTTGCACCCAAGTTCGGTATCTGTCACATTATGTAATTACACAGACAGGCAGGTGTGATACTTGTACACATGACATGTTATGAGGTGAGGTGAGGTGAAATTAGTTTTAACGTCGTGCTTGAGAATATTTTGCTCATATGACGACGTGCATGCGTGTGTATGTGTATGTGCGGCTGCTTGTACTAGCCAAGACTTAAGATGGTTTTATAGTGCTAGCCCACTGAGATACCATGCCGCATTGAAGCATGAATACCCCACTCAGACACATTATACTGACTCGAGCTGACCAGTCCTTGTTGCACCCATTAATGCCGAGCGCCAGGCAGGGACCAACAAGTACCATATTTTAACGTCTTTTGGGATCGAACCCGCGACCTTCCGCTCTCCGGGCGGACGCTCTAACCACTACACCACGGAGGCAGTCTCATGACATGTTATGATGTCTGTTGATTGCAAAGTGTTATACAAAAAAAATGAGCATGTATTTATAAAACCCAACATGTCTATACACACACAAAGAGCCCTGAGTATATCGGCAAATGACCATCCCAATGAAAGACTTCTTTACACATAAGTGCACACCCACCTGCTCTGACTGGGTTTGGTATCCCGAGTGCTTCGTTTCGACGGAAGTAAACCCAAGTACAAAATATTGCACTTTTGATTTGCGGTTATACACTTATAATTTTGTTAATTTTTTTTTTTTTTCATAATCAGCAATGTATATTTGTGTAATGAATAAATGTTTTAATTATGTATATTTTTTTGGTTGCATGTAAGCTAACCTTTATTGAAGGAGGTGATGTATAGAGATTACTACACAAGTGTCTGTTAGATACCATTATCTTGCAATGAGTTGGAAGGTAAACAGTACATGACAGGCACAAGTGCAGTAATCCATTCTCAAATACATCACAAACATTTCATTATCAAATCTTTTGTCTATTCTCATTATCACAGTGATGCATAAATACACAAGAGCCATGAGTCATCAGACTTACCTCTTTCTCACACCTAGTCTCGTCCTATTTTTAGTTAATACATGTGTAGGGGATGCCAAGTTGTTAGAATCTGATATTTATCAGCATTTGTAAAATGATTGCTTCTTTAAGCACTAATTAGTGATTTTACAATATATCAATCATTTTTCAGTTATAAAAATATAAGAAAAAATTCTTCACAATTACATTCAAAAGGGAGCGTCTATTTACGAAAAAGTTATATAAATTACCTACAAAGTGTTCGCCCACATTATACAAATGACAAACAAAATACAAATAAAAAAGACCCGATGCACGTATGTCCACCAGGATCTTTGTTAAACTAATAATAGAGTGACTGCCTGATTCGTTGCTTTAAGGATCTATTTGCATCTGCTACACAGTAAGGTAAACATGTATTGTTTTAAATTAGACTTATGAATGATCAGGAGACAACACACCTTTGGGACATTTTCATTGGTTGACATCAGAAAACAAGTGTCCTGATTGGCTGAGCCGATGACGTCAATTGATGAAAGGTTCAAAGGAGATTTGGCTTTGTTTACAGTCCCTGACTAATTCAGACTTGATCACATTGGCTAGGGAGACACTGACGTATAACAACACATTGCCTCGAGTGGAAATGCTCTCGCTTACAGGACGCTTCATCTAAATCTCGACGGCTTCTTTTAAGGAAATTAAATTCAAGATGAGCTAATTTTGTCATTTGGAGGACTCGAGATTCAAGATCCAAATA